ACCCTTGCGCAGGTGAGCCGGCAAGGATCAGATCGCTCCGTCCGCAGGTGAGCATGCAGAAGGACAGGTCGTCCTGTCCGCAGGTGAGCCGGGCAGTGGGCCGGCTAGGAACTGGTCCCTCCGGCGGCTGGTGAGCCGCGCGGGGCTCGGGCCGCAGTCTGCGGGCGGTCCGAGAGGACACTGGCAGGCCGCCCGAGACCAGGTTGTGCTCTCTGTAGGACTTGTTTATGTTTTTTGAATTATGTTCATTGAGAGTGTTTTTTTACTTACTTTTTGTATGTCAAAAATGAAGTTTATTCTGTGTTAAATATTGACATAAAATGAGTTGTACCACTTTAAAACTTAGAGAACACCTCTTTCACACTGCAGATTAAAGGGATGCAATTTTGTTTGGTGGAATAGGGAATAGGAGCTTTTTTAGATGAAAAGTACTGAAAAGTAAAAGAGATCTCCACAAGGTGAGATGGAAATTGACCAGTTTTTTAAAGACTTGGCTGGTCCTCTCCAAACCATCGGTTGCTGCCACATCCCATCAGCGGGATCTTCCTGCATGTCTGCTCTGCACCCTCAAATCAGTGATATTCTTTTTTTTCTTTTTTTTTTTTGGAGTATGATTGCTTTACCATGTTGAGTGTGTCTTTTAATTTTGGGGGAAAAATGTTTAAAAGCTGCTGAAGTGTAATTCTCAAAATACAGAAATGTAATTCCTGTGAAAACAGGGAGCACAGATCAGGTTGGACTAACTCACTGAGGAAAGACCCTCAGAGAGGACAGAACCAACTCCGGGATGGCGGTTGGAGCAGGGGATGGTCCAGGAACGCCGCACCTCATCAGTGCCTCTGGCGGACCTCGCGGCGCAGTCCCAGCCAAACAGACCTGCTGTGTACCCTGGAAAGTCGGGTGACTTTCAGGGGCCTGCAAGCGACCCAGGGTGCTATAAGAAAGCCTGCTTTTCCCTCTTTCTGACGCATTTCCAAGTTTTGGATCAGTGTAGCCTCCAGTGAACGGCGGGAGCTCACACCTGCTCTGGTGGAGACACCCCAGTCCCAGGACGGGACTGCGGAAACCCTCCCCTTCAGTGTCTTAAAACGCCTGGCCCAGTGCAGGGAAGCGGCCAAAACCACCGAATCTTGTGAAAAAGTGAGACGAGGTTTGTACAGAGCTTGACTTCCCAAAGAAAATGGAGGCCTGTGGGGCAGAGGCGGGCTTTCCAGCCCCGGAGCCCCTTCCCCTCGGCTGCGGGGCCGTGGCTGCCCAGAGGCAGGGGCTTCAGTGGGTGACTCCAGAGCCCCCCAGGATTGAAAGAGCAGGGGGTCCGTGCTCCTGGGTGCGGCTCTGCAGGGGCAGCGACAGTGACCTGGAGCTGGGCCTGAGGTAAGGCCAGGTCGCTGCCACAGGACCAGCTGGGCCCGGGCCCCCTTGCCTGGAGGGTGAGGGGTGAGGTGGGGTAGGGGGCGGGCGCTGAGCCCCTGGAGCTCTGCCCACCGCCCTCTGGTCTGTGCTGCCTTCCTGAGCAGCGCCCGGGTGCACGCTGGGGTGCTGCTTGCCAGGGGGCAGCAGTGCCATCTTGGGGTTCTGGGGGCTGTCTGGTCGCTGACTAGGTTCCCGCAGACCACCTCCAACCCAAGGCCTGGCCTTGTCCCTTTATGGCTCAGATGGGTCACCTCATCTGTGTGTCCCTGAGGCCCAGGGTGACAGGTTGGACCTGCCCAACCTGCCCAGAAGCTCTGAGCAGGCAGCTGTGCAGGAGGGTGTGTTCGGGGAGGGCTTGAGCAATGACCAGGGTGGGGCAGGTATCCTGGGATCGAGTCCTGGGGGTGGAGTCCTGTGGTCAGTTCCTGGGGGAATACGGGGGTCCAGTCCTGGGGTGCAGTACTGGGGTCGAGTCCTGTGGGTGGAGTACAGGGGTCAAGTACTGGGGTTAGGTACTGGGGTGGAGTACTGGGGGTCAGGTACTGGGGTGGAGTACTGGGGGCTGGATACTGGGGTGGAGTACTGGGGGTCGGGTACTGGGGTGGAGTACTGGGGTCTGGGTACTGGGGTGGAGTACTGGGGGGTGGGTACTGGGGTGGAGTACTGGGGGTCAGGTACTGGGGTGGAGTACTAGGGGCTGGGTACTGGGGTCAGGTACTGGGGTGGAGTACTGGGGGCTGGGTACTGGGGTGGAGTACTGGGGGTCTGGTACTGGGGTGGAGTACTGGGGGTGGAGTACTGGGGGTCGGGTCCTGGGGGTGGAGTACTGGGATCAGGTACTGGGGTTCGGGTACTGGGGTGGAGTCCTGGGGTTGGGTACTGGGGGTGGAGTACTGGGGTGGAGTCCTGGGGTTGGGTACTGGGGTGGAGTACTGGGGGTCAGGTACTGGGGTGGAGTACTGGGGTTGAGTATTGAGGTGGAGTACTGGGGTGGAGTACTGGAGTGCAGTACTGGGGGTCAGGTACTGGGGTGGAGCCCTGGGGTTGGGTACTTGGGGTGGAATACTGGGGGTCGGGTCCTGGGGGTGGAGTACTGGGATCAGGTACTGGGGTGGAGTACTGGAGTGGAGTCCTGGGGTTGGGTACTGGGGGTGGAGTACTGGGGTTGAGTATTGAGGTGGAATACTGGGGTTGAGTCCTGGGGTTGGGTCCCCGGTCTGCACAGGGAGTTGTGTCCTTGTCTCTGAAGGGTCCCACCTCGGCTGTCTGGCCTGGGAGCTTCAGTGTCTGCCTTGACCGCAGCACAGATCCTGGAAGGCGTGAGGACCCGGAACCAGGCTGAGGTTGCCCGTCAGTGACTCTGGAGGCCGGTGGTTTCCCTGGTTCCTGGGTGCTGGGAGCCGCCCTCCCCGCCGCCCTGGTTTCTCCTTTGTCCTCAGAGGCGGGTGGTCGACTTTGCTGCGGCCTCGCGTCTCCACTTCCCACCCTCCTGGGCCCTCTGCGCGGCCCCTCAGGACCGCATGTCTCTGTGAGCTGCCTGCTGGGCAGCAGGGAGGTCAGAGGTGGGCATGTGGTGTGAGGGGTGCTGGTCGTTCCGGGCTTTCTCTCCAGGATGAATGGGTTTGGTTTGGTTTTTAACTTGCCTCACAGTTAAAACCACCTGCAGCACACAGGAGACGTTCACACGCTTTCAGTTACATTCGCTTGGTTAGGAAAAGGAAGCCACTAAACCACTGCTTCTCAGGGTCGCAGGCCCTAGAGCTGGGGGCACAGGCATGTTCAGTGGTTCTGCACCTGCTTAGGGCACCTGGGCATGTCAGACACGCCTGCAGCTGGTCCTTCAGGGCAGTGAGGCCAGGCCCTGGGCAGGCTCCTGGAATGCCCTGCGTGATTGAAAGGAACAGACTTGCCCGCGGGCAGTCTGAGCCCCCGGCCAGGCTCTGAGGGCCTGGGCACGTGGCGGTCAGAGGCCCGTGGAGCAGCCTGGGCTTGCCCAGGGAATCCGCGGTCCCGTGAGCCAGGCAGACCCCCAGTCAGCAGCCCCACATCTGCTCCTGCCCTCCGCTCGGCCGACCTCCGTCCTGCAGTCAGACTCCGGCTCCTGGGTTCCCGCTCCTAAACGGTGGAGCTGGGGTCAGAACCCACTGCCCTGTTCCTGATTCTTTACTCCCGGGGTCCTGGGGTCCCCTAGCCTTGGAGAAGGGGCCCCTGTATGGGCCACTCCCATGGCGAGCTCAAGTTGTTTAGTCAGAGCTTTTCAGGGTCACAGGGGAAGGGGAACCCCCATTTCAAGACAGAGCTTCATGAAGTGAGGTGCTGGCTCGGAGCACAGTGCCGGGGGGACGTGTGAAGGGAGGGGCCAGACAGGGTGAAGGCTTGGGAGGGGCTACCTTTCAGCGGAGCTCAGGGTTGCGCGGCCCCTGCGTGGGGCTTGGCTCTGGATGGCGAGGCTTCCTTCTCATCCCCCAGCCCACTCCTGTTGGAGCTGCCCCCCACCCTGTGGTGCTGGAAGCTGACCACTGCGGGACCAGATGGCTCCGGGCTCTGTTCTGAGAGGGTCAGGCAGCTGTGGCCACAGAGGACGACAAAGCCCATGGTGCTCACAGGGCCTGGAGGCGGGACCCGGGGGCCAGGGGCAGAGGACAGAACAGAGGGGGACGGAGGCCATGGCCTGTCCTGGGGTTTGCAGGGAAAGGCAGGCAGGTTGGGGTGAACACGAGACTGGTCTGTTCTAGTGATATCTCTGGGCTTTGGGTGACAGGGGTGTTTTCAGCTGCCGGGCACCCACCCAGGGTGATCCAGGCAGAGGAGTGTCCTCTCCTGGGGCAGGGCAGGTGGCGGAGGCTGGGCCTGGCTGGGGGGTTGGCACAGGTCATGGTCGGCTCCTGGTGGGTTCTTGGCTGGTGGGGTGGCGTCTGGGGAGTCCAGATGTCAGAACATCACAGTAGACAGAAACATAGATATATGCACACACACAGATGTGTATACACATAGATGTATACACACATAGATGTACCCACACACAGATACATGTACCCAGAGATCACAGAGATACATGCACACAGATGTACACACAGATACACATACAGATGTATACACAGCAATACACATATGCACAGATGTACACACAGAAATACATGTACGCACAGATGTACGCACACAGATACACGCACACACAGATGTACACACATAGATACACATACAGATGTACACACAAATATAGGTACACACAGATGTGTACACACATGGATGTACACACACAGAGATACATGTATGAACAGATCAGAGATACATGCACACAGAGATACATGCACACACAGATGTATACACATAGATAAACACATACAGATTACACACACAGATACACGTACACACAGATGTATATGCACACAGATACACGCATACACTGATGTACACAGATGTGTACACACATAGATGTACATACACACAGATACACATATGCACAGAGATCAGAGATACATGCACACAGAGATACATGCACACACAGATGTATACATAAACACATATAGATTACACACACAGAGATACACGTACACACAGATGTACACACACACAGATGTGCACACAGATGTGCACACACAGATACACGCATAGACGTGCACACACAGAGGAGTCGGGCCCGTGTCTTTCCCTGCCCCGTCCACACCCCCTCGTCTGTCACGTCACTGTCTCACGCATCTGTCCCTCCAGCGGAAGCTTTCTTGCTGTGTTGTGTCACCCAGATGCAGAAGCACAGGGTGGAGGCTTTTTGCCCGTGCTGTGACCGTCTCCCCGGCGTGGGTGCGGCCTGCGTGCCACTCCGTCCGGCCAGCAGAAGGTCAGGTTCTGTTCTTCCCCAGGGTGAGGACGGGCGCATGAGGGTCCAGGGGCCGCGACCCTGGCGCAGCGTGCGGACCCCAGCCTGGCCGAGACGACGCGGGCAGCATGAGCCTCCTGGACGCTGGCGCCCTTGACCTGGACTACACCTCCGGGCGGGTCCGCGGGGTGCTGGCGGCCGCCGGCTGTGCCTTCTACCTGGGCGTCTTTGTGGTCTGCCACTGGCTGTCCTCCCTGAATGCCACCTACCGCTCGCTGGCGGCCCGCGAGCAGGTCTTCTGGAACCTGGCAGCCGCACGCGCGGTCTTTGGCATCCAGGGCACCGCGGCAGGGCTGTGGGCGCTGCTGCTGGACCCCGTGCTCCAGGCCGACAAGGCGCTCGGCCAGCAGGACTGGTGCTGGTTCCACATCACCACGGCGACCGGCTTCTTCTTCTTCGAGAACCTCGCCCTTCACGTGTCCAACGTGCTCTTCCGCACCTTCGACGGCTTCCTGGCCGTGCACCACCTCTTTGCCTTCCTGGGGTTTCTCGGCTCAGCGGTCAACCTCCAAGCTGGCCACTACCTGCCCATGGTCACGCTGCTCCTGGAGATGAGCACGCCCTTCACCTGCATCTCCTGGATGCTGCTGAAGGTAGGTGTCCCACACCCGCTCAGTCGGTTCCCCCACAGCTTCTGCGCCCGGCCGTGGTCCCTTCACCCCTGACACCCCTGCTGCCGGCCCCTTGTGGCCTGTGCTGTTCCCAGCCTGGGTTAGAGCGTGAAGGCAGTAGGAAGCTCATTCTGATCGAATTCCATTTTAGTAATTTTAAGCAGCTCTCTCAGGCTTCCAGCCCATGGCAGAAGATGTGGTGGATGTCGTGTCTGTCTCAGTGGACAGGGTTTTTGGTAGATTCTCACTTGTTTGCTTCTGTTGGGGCTTCATGGTGGCGCTGTGGCTCAGTAGTTGTGGCTCGCAGGCTTAGTTGTAGTTGCCCCCTGGCGAGTGGGATCAAGCCCGTGTCCCCTGCATTGGAAAGTGGATTCTTCACCACTGGAATGCCAGGGAGGTCTCAGTAGACAGCATTTGTAAGCCCTTGAAAATGTGCTTTTTCTATGTGTCTGTATACATCTCCTGAAGGTTTTATTTCACGTTGCGTTATTTCACACACATCTTCGTGGCCAGCACACGTGTGCAGCCGTAGGACACATGTGCAGCAGGTTTCTGGAGCTTACCCGTCTCGTTTGATGGAAACCTGCTGCCTCCCTCCTGCCCCCGGCAGCCGCCCTCCGCGGTTTGATTGAGGACTACCGGACGCCTCGTCCGCGTGGTGCCGTCTTTCCTGTCCTGCTTTGTGTCGCTGGGTGAGCGTCCTCCGGGTGCAGCCGTGCCCCGGCACTCTGAAGAGCTCCCTCCTTTCTCGGGCTGGGCAGTTTCCCATTACGAGGGTGAAGCGCGTTCTCACCCACCATCCATCAGGGCGCGCTCGGGGCGCTTCAGTCTGTACTGTGACCTGCGCTGCAGTGAGCACGGGGTGCTGAGGCTCTTCCAGATCCTGGTTTCGGTTCCTTTACTGGCTCCTGAGGCAGTTCCGGTTTTAGAAACGAACCCCCGCGCTGTTTCCCACAGTGGCTGCGTGTTCTCTGTTCCCACCAGCAGCGCAGAGTTCGAGTCTCTCCACGTCCTCACCAGTGTATGTTTGCTTTGTTTCTTGGATATTAGCTCATTGGCTTTGGTCTTGCTTTTCCCTGATGACTGGTGACAGCATGTTTTCATTTCATCTGTCCTTTGGCCGTTTATGTGATCATCTTTCGAAAACCGTTCAAGTCCTTGGTCCACGTTTCAATCAGAGTCTTTGTTATTTTTTACTGTTGAGTTGTAGTCCTGTTTTAAAAAACGATTTTATGTATTTATCTATTTATTTTTGGCCGTGCTGGGCCTTCGTTGCTGCTCAGACTTTCCTCTCGTTGCAGAGAACAGGGTCTTCCCTCCAGTTGCGATGCGCAGGCTTCTCTCATTTAGGCTCGTGGGCCCTGGGGCTCATGGGCTCCGTAGCTGCGACTCCTCTGCTCCAGAGTTTAGGCTCCGAGATGCTGCTCAAGGGTGTAATGGCTGTGTGGCATGTGGGGTCTTCCTGGACCAGGGGTCAAGCCTGCGTCTCCTGCAGTGGCAGGTGGAATTCTTTACCCCTGAGCCACCAGGGAAGCCCTGGGGTTCGTATGTTCAAGATTAATCTCTTACTAGACGTATGGTTGGCAAGTATTTTCTCCCCCTTTGTAGGTTGCCTTTTCACTCTGCTGTTTCCTCTGCTTTGAGGAAACTTTTTAGTTTGTCGTCCCAGTTATTTATGTTTCAGTTGTCTTTGTTTTTGGTATAATGTTCATGAAATCATTGGCAAAACCAGTGCCATGAGGCTTTTCCCCTTTGTATTTTTTTAGGAGTGTTGGGTCTTACATTTCAGTCTTCAGTCCATCTCAAGTTGCTTTCTGTGTAGGGTGTGAGGTAGGGGTTCCGTTTTGTTCTTTTATGCATGAATGTGCAGTTTCCCAGCAGCACTGACTGAAGAGACCACGCCTTCCCGCTGTGTGGCTTTGGCCCCTGTTGAAGACCAGTTAGCTGTGCACGTGTGCATTTAGTCTGGGCTATTGGTGCTGTTCCTCTGGTTTCCCTGTCTGTTGCTCGGTTTATGCAGTTTTTATTTCTCTAGGTTTGTAATAGAGTTTGAAATCAGAAGATGTGGTGTCTCCAGCTTTGTTCTTTCCTCTCAAGACTGATTTGGGTATTTGGGGTCTTCTGTGGTTTTGTATGAATTTTAGATTTTTATTGTTGTTAAAAATGCCATTGGAGTCTTGGCAGAGGTTATACTGTACACTTCCCATGTGGCTCAGATGGTAAAGAATTTGCCTGCCGTACGGGGGATCTGAGTTCGATCCATGGGTCGGGAAGATCCCCTGAAAAAGGAAAAGGCAACCCACTCCAGTATTCTTGCCTGGAGAATCCCATGGACAGAGGACCCTGGTGGGCTACAGTCCAGGGCATTGCAAAGAGTGGGACAGACCGAGGGACTGACACTTCACACTGAACCTGCAGACGACTGGTGACTTCCCTGGTAGGTTTCCCAGTTCAGTTATTGTGTCCTGCAGCTCCTTGGTTTCTGTTGGGAGTTTTTTTTATTCCATCTCTTCACTAATGTTCCGTTTTAAAACGCGTGTATTTCTCTTGGCTGCACGGGGTCTTCGCCGCACGCGGTCTTCACTGCACACGGTCTTCGCCGCACGCAGGCTCTCTGGTTGCGGTGTCGGGCTTCTCATCGCCGTGGCTTCTCCAGACCACGGGCTCCAGGGCACTTGGTCTTGTGGGCTTCGCTGCCCCGCGGCCTGTGGGGTCCCAGACCCAGGGATCCAGCCCTGTCCCTGCACTGGTGCGGATTCCCAGCCCCTGGGCCGCCAGGGAAGCCGTGTCCCACTGTCCACAAATCCTCCTGCCCGGGGAGCATGCTGTGCCAGTCCATGGGCCGCCCCTCAGCAGGGTTGGGGATGGGTCCTGCCCCTCCATGTGGAGCGAAGGTTGTCCCTCATCTCCGGGCCTCTGTTGGAGTCCGTGCATCAGATGGAGCTGACCTCTGCCCCGCTGGCCGCCGTCCTCGCCTGGAGGAATCCCACCGATCGGCCCAGCCAGGGCCTGGGGCTTCTTGTCCGCATCCTCCTGGGGAAGGGCGGAGGCTGTGGCTTTTGTCTGCTCACCTGTTGGGAGCCCCGCCAACAAGTTGGGGTGCTGGACGCCCCAGCCCCTCCCTCTTCGGCGTGAAGCAGGGAGCTGGGGTCTCCTCCTGACCCCAGGGTGCTGTGGGACATGGACCGTCCTGTCGCTCCAGGGGGCCTGTCCTGGCGGCAGGGCCCTTTCCGTGGGCCCCTGATTCCTCACAACGGAGTTTGCCTGTGGCCTGCAGCTCACACAGGCCTCAGCACCTCTCACACCTCAGCCACTGGGGAGGGGGTCTTCAGCTGCTCCTCTCTAGGTGGGGCGGCCCCCTCCTCAGGAAGCAGGCAGACCCCAGCTGTGTGGGGACCTCAGAGGGAGGCACTTTGTTTGGGGTCTTTTTCCTCTGAAGTGTTTGGATGCCATTCACTCAGGTTGGAAATGAAAAAGGGGAGTCCCAGGATGTGACCCCCTTTTTGCAGCCTTGCTGTGTTCATCACGTGGCCAGCAGCCCCACAGCAAAGCTGTCCCTTCAGCTAGGACAGCTCAGAGTCAGCGTGTCCAGGCAGACTAGTTCTTCTAGTTCAGGTCCTGTTGAGCCTTGGGAGTAAATACCACTCGGATGCTGATACCCCTCTAAGCCTTTCGTAAAGCTGCCAAGTCCTTGCTTTGTCAGGCTTCAGGGTCCAGGCACTCTCGCCATGGACTCTGGTTTGATGAGATGTGGGAGGGTGTCAGGACCAGACGTCACCACCAGCGTGATGTAGTTTACACCCCAGATGGGCTTACGCTTCTGTTTCCTCCTTCAGTTTGGTTCTGAAATGCTGTTTAGAAATAATAATAAATGAATTACACACTCATGCATCTAAGCTGGTAGAGACAACTTCATCCACAGAGACACTAATCCAGGTGCAAATGAGTTGATATTAAAAAAAAAAAAAAAACACAGTGAATTTGTGTATAAATATATACCAGGCACACTACCTGCTGGGACCCAAGCTCGACAAACAAAGCTTGCATGGTTACGTCTCAGATTGTTACTGACCCAGCTTTTCTCAGAGCATTTGGTGATGATGAAGGCAAAATTTTTAGTGCCCGAATTAGAGCAAAAATGCTCAGTTCTCAAGCTTGGAGTTTTCTGAACATAATGCAATTCTTGTAGCAGTAAAGTTCATGCTTCTGGTGTGGATGTTAGTGATTTAAGATGACTGCTTTCAGCACATGGGGAAGCAGTGGAAAAGAGTGGCCTGGCGTGCTGCGGTTCATGGGGTGGCAGAGAGTTGGACACGACTGAGCGACTGAACTGAACCGAGTGAACTTTGGAGGAGACGGCTCAGTGGGTGGAAGATGGCTTGCTGGCCTCTTGGGTGGGGAGGCTGAGCAGTGGCCCTCCACCCCCCAGGCATTCGCAACTCACTGCACTTGCGTGAGCACCCAAGGCACGCTTGGCTCACATCCCCACTCTGCAGTCTGTACGTTTAACATCCTTCGGGCCAACGCGAAGGCTACGTCTTTCTCACGTGAAGAATCTATCATTGAAAGCCTCAAACATTACATATTTTCGTGTTTGAGAAGCACTCTTTTCTGTCTGATCATACAGTTTAAGGAATTTTACTTGTGTGAGTCATGATTCTGACTGACATGGAGTGGAGAATGCCTGCCCCACGCAGTGGGTATAAAACTGTTTCTATAGAACTGTGTTGTTTCCCTAGTACTCTGGTTTTCTTTTTCATTGAAATATTGACATTTGAAAAAGAGTATTTTTAAGTAAGATGGGAAGTGAGATACCACTGGATTTCCCAGGAAGCGAGCAAGCATCCTAATGTAATTACATCATCCATCCTTTCCCTGGGGAGTCAAAATGCTGCCCAGTATCAGCTCTCCATATATTTTACTTATTTCTGCATTTTGTGTTGCTTATTTCTTGCACTGGCATCACCTTATTTCTGAAACATCACCATATTTCATCCTTTACTGAGGCACCTTCAGCCCTCCTGGTGCATTTACTGCATGGGTGGAATTATTTAGGGTCATTTTAAAGTGTTAAAATACAGAGGGAGATATTATCTTATTTGGACTAAATCTGTGGATAGATTCTAGGAGGAAAGAATGTGATGTCTTTTGAGTGTTTTCCATCCAAGAACATAATGTGCCTCAATTCATCCAAGACTTTTCCGAAGACCTATTAGGGATCCTGGGCTCCCTGCTCCCTGCTGTCTCACTCTGCCTCATCCTTCTGCTTTTCTTCACACTCATTTCTTAGTCTAGGCTTGGTAGAAGCTAATGTAAATGGAGTTTTAATATTTAAAACTGCCGGAATAAATAGGGTGTTTCTCTGGGTATTATCTGCAGCTGATTTAAACATCCCTGGTAGTAGAAGAGGACATGATCATGCCTGGCCTAGAAACAGCAGGCAACTCAGATTTTCTGTGAAGTTATTTTTGGGGGTTCATAATACTTCAGACAAGGAAGAAACTCCTGTTTTTCCACCTGTTTTAAGTTGGCCCTGGGTCACGGCTCCCGTTGCTTCTCGTCTTTCCATGTCAGAGCTGTGTGTACACCTTCTGCGGCTCCGAGAGGCTAGGGTCTTCCCCTGTTACAGCGTGGCCCCTCCAGAGATCAGTGTCCATGTCCCTTCAGGGCTCGGCAGGTGCAGCTGCTGCAAAGCCACCCTGTTCCCAGGGTCACCGGGCAGTTGCCTGGCCCGCGGCAGCGCCTCCCCGGGCCCCTCTCCTCCTGCACGTTCCAGACGGGCTCTCCCCTGGGAGGGGGCTCAGGACGAGCCCCAGCCCCAGCGTGGCTCCAGGCGGCGAGGAGAGCCTGGGGTGCCCAAGCTCGTGGGTCCGGGGCATGCGGGCCGTCCTGGCGCAGCGAGGTCCCCGCCACAAGCCACGAAGGCCCGTCTCCGTGTGCACGGTCTGCTGTGCAGAGTCTTCAAGTTCCCTGTTGGGTTTCGGCCACAGCTAGTTTTACTGTGAGTTTAGAATAATTTCAGGGCAAGTCCGCTTGGGCTCATGTCCCGGGGCCTGGGGAGGTTGGTCACAGGTGGTGGACATGTCTCCCAGCATCGCCGAGTCCCTGGCTGTGTGCAGTGTGTGCACAACCCCGGGGGGGGGGGGAGCCCCCGGGAGGGGGGCCCGCGGCCGCGCCCCTGACTGCGCTCTGCCCCCGACAGGCCGGCTGGGCGGACTCACGGCTCTGGAGGCTGAACCAGTGGGCGATGGTGCACCTTTTCCACTGCCGCATGGTGCTCACCTACCACATGTGGTGGGTGTGCCTGGGCCACTGGGCCAGCCTGGCCCGCAGCCTCTTCCCGCCGCACCTGGCGCTCTTCGTGGTCGGCCTGGCCCTCCTCACGCTGCTCATCAACCCCTACTGGACCCGCAAGAAGACGCAGCAGCTGCTCAACCCCGTGGACTGGAACTTCGCGCCCAGCCGCCCCAACGGGCCAGCGCCACCCAAGAAGGCCAGGTAGCAGCCTCGGCCCCCAGCCCGCGGCCTGCAGCCACCCCCCCAACCGTCGCCTCCAACGCCGACCCCGGGCGTGCGTGCCTGCTGCATGGCGCCGGGTGGCCCAGAGCGGAGGTGTCCAGGGACAGTGTCCCGCCCGGCCTGTGCGCAGCCTCCCACGGAGGGCCGTGGGGCAGCCCCTGAGGCGTCCCTGCGACCTCCTCACGGCCCTGCTCGCGGAGGCAGGAGATAAGGCCCCCAGGTCGTCACCCCATCACGGTGGTCTCTGCTGACACTGGAGGGAGATGTGAGTCATCACTTGTCTAGATGTGAGAGCTGCTTTTAACCAAGTGTGCAGCCAGCCCCTTACTCCTAATCGCTGTAGGTTTTGAGTCAGGGAGCCATCAGGGGGACCTGGCCCCAGTGGTGCTGAGCCGCGGGCCCCCTTCCTTCCTCCTGGTGACCAGCCCTGCCGCCACCCTCACATGTTGACCCCACGGTTTAATTGACAGTGCTGACATCTTATTCTTGCCACGAATGTGCAATTAAAATGAAAAGCTTGTATCTGTTGAAAGTGCTCTTGAGTGTTTTTGGAAAACACGTTTACTGGTCGTGAGAGTCTCCTGTGCCCTGGGGAGCGCGGGGGTGGGGGGCACACACAGGTCAGGAGGTGTAACACCTACTTGCGTCACCTGGAGAGGCGGTTTCAACGTGAGACACACCCAGCAACCCGCGTTCCTCCTGGGGCTCCTCCCCCTCGCACAGACCCTGGGGGCCGAGCAGGCTGTTTCCACCGCCCAGCACTTGAATAAAGCGACCGAGGTTTACAGAACCTGAAGGCACGTCCCTGCGTATCTCTCGGTGCCGTTCACCTTGCTGCAGAGGTTTTCCATCTTGGAGATGCAGCTGTGATGATAAGTGTTCACGTGCTCAAAACTCAGGTTAAGATCTGAAACAGTCAGCTTGATTCCCACGTGACCCTCACTGGGACTTGGACCTTCCAGGTTCAGTCTCTGCAGCCTGTCTCGGCCAAGCTGGTGTTGGCCGCACCCTGACCGACTTCCAGGGAAGACACAGCTGGCTGTTTGGGCAGAAGGCGCCTCCTGAGATGATGACCCAGCATCCCGGTGCCTCCGCTGCCCGACAGCATTTGCCCTCCTCCACCCCGAGCGTCCCCTCGCTCGGCTCTGCCGGCGTCACTGCTCTGGGCCCCAGGGCTTTCCCAGTCACAGGTGCCTTGCCAGTCACAGGACGCCGAGGGTGCCTTGCTCTCTGGCACGCACTCCGCCAGGGAGTTGGCACCGTCCATCTTTACAGCGGGGCCTGAGGCTTGGGTGGTGGCCGGCTGGGCAGCGGCCTCGCAGCTGAGGCCCGTGGACTGTGGAGCGCAGCAGCAACCCGCTGACCCCGGCCAGCAGGCCCAGGGGCATCCCCGGTTTGCAGAGCCCTGAGCGGCCGTGTCTGCTTGTCCAGGACAGGCGCTGGGTCCACCCGGAAGGGCAGTGTTAGAAGTTCGGGGGTGAGAGCAGACCTCAGCTCAGCCCTGTGGCGAAGCCGATGGCTGCAGGCGACATGGTGACCTCTGGAGGCAGGTGTGGCCGGACGCCCTGCAGGGTCAGCCGGCATCAGGGCCGGTCTGGTGACGGGCTGATAGGCTGACATTTTCTTTCAATGCGTGTGTTTAAAGAAGCACAACGGGGAGACCGTCTCCTCTTCCTCCTGCGCGTGCACCTTGGAGGCTGGTCCCCGTGCCTCACGTCGGCCAGATGCTGTCCCAGGACAGGGTGCGGAGCTGGCGGGCAGGAGTGGGGGCCCCTCTGGGGTCCGAGCGGGGAGGCTGACTCCTGCAGGCGTCCCCCGGGGTCCTCTCCTCAGGGCTCCGGGCTCTCACCTGATCTGTGCTTTCAGGATGGAGCCCCCGTGAGAGGGCGAGCTGCCCCAGGAGGAGGGGAGCGGGTCTGAGTGAGCCGGCACGCCCTGGAGGTCCGATGGGTTTCTCGTTGGGCGAGTCTCGTTTGCAGCTCACCCAGAAGAAGCCACCGCAAGTGGTGCACACACCCCCGTGGCTGCTTTCAGGTCACCTCCCTTTACTAAACTGCTCTAGTGGGAGAGCTTACCAACTCAACATTTCTCTTTCTAAATAAAAGCTTCCCCCTTTTCGGTAACTAAACTATGCAATGCATACATGGTTTTGCCAGATCTCGTTTAGTGATGTGAAAAACTCAGAAACTTGTCGTTTTTCTCTGACGACTGGGAACCCAGAGAGCTTGGAGGGGACCCCGGCCGAAGCCCCCAAGTGGAGCCGAGACGCAGCCCTGCGAGCCACGTTTAACTTCGGCCTGGTGTGTGCGTTGTTCTTACTGCTGTGCAGTTGCACCGTCAGGCGCCGGCCTTTGCAGGCCTGGACACTGTGATCTCTGTCCCCACGCCCCCCCACATGCTGGCACTCTGACCTCAGGGCCACCCCCAGAGGCCCCGACACTGCTGTGTGCACAATACATCAGAGCTCTGCTCCATCGTGGAGTTTCCTGGGGGGTGTTTTACAGAACTGGGTCGTTTTCAGTGATGCTCCCACATGCAGGAAGAAAATGTTATTTTACTGCAACATTGCTTTCTCCAATATTCCTTGGGATCCAGGTAGAAACGGCCCCAAGTGGCTCTCTAAATGACAACACCACAGTTCAGCTGAAACTGTTCTGTGGGTGGGAAGGGGAACAGCATGAAATTCCTTAGCTTTTAAGCCACTGAATCCGAGTGAGCCTTCTGGACTGGGTTTGTTTATTGTCTCAGGGGGGTGTGTGTGTCTGTCTCAGTATGTGAGTCCACACCCTGCTCTCTCTTCCTGGTTTTGACCCTTGTTAGGGGTCTGGATTGTGGTTTGAGGGGAGACCCTGATGATTAGGAAAGAAAGGAAGTGGAAGGATTGAGTGTTCTCAGAGACCTCCTGAGAGGATCCTGGTAACTGCATGTGGTGGAGACGCTCCTCGAAACTCATCGCTTAGTTTGAAGTCTGTTCCAGAGCCACCTGCAAGCTCGCCTAGAAGTGCAGGGGGTGAGTGCTGTGTGCCACGCTCTATCAAACCAGTCAATCCTAAGGGAAATCAACCCTGAATACTCACTGGAAGGACTGATGCTGAGGCTGAGCTCCAGTACTTTGGCCTCCTGATGTGAAGAGTCAGCTAATCAGAAAAGACCCTGATGCTGGGAAAGACTGAGGGCAGGAGGAGAAGGGGACGACAGAGGATGAGACGGTTGGATGGCATCACCGACTCAATGGACATGGGTTTGGGTGGACTCTGAGAGTTGGTGAAGGACAGGGAGGCCTGGCGTGCTGCGGTTCATGGGGTCGCAAAGAGTCGGACACGACTTAGCGACTGAACAACTGTCTGTTAGTTAGGCTGAACAGGCTCTTTGGGTACTGAAGGAGCTCTCACCTTGAAAATGGCCACATAGGGCTCTCTTATGTTCTAAAAACTGGTTTTTGCCTATGCAGCGAGAGGAAGTGGCTTTCTAAGAGGAACCTGCTTTTCTCTCCCTGTGCCTTTGAGATGTAAACGTTCTGACAGTTCCTGAGACAGAAGAGAAAAGAGGGAAAGCAGGAAAACTGAGACTCTATGTAGGTGTCTGTTATAGAGGTATGTCTTTACCTACAGATAGTATCAAAATTATTCAGTAATGTGTAAATGAGCCTGTGACCTGCTTAAAGGAAATTAAGTGCTTACTAAAAATACAAAAGTAACCTACCCAAATGAATTTCAGGTTCATGCAATCTGGGAAATACTCAGTATTAAATATCTGGTTTCAAAGTTTAAGCTTGTTAAACTTAGTTAATGCAGACATCTTTCAAGAGTCATCAACTATAATTTTATTATACTTAAGAGAGTTAATAAGACCTTATTCTGTTACAAAATTCATGAGCAAGGAAAGTAACTTGATACAATGACTTTAAGTTAAATATAATTGAGATAAGAGTTTTGGGAGTTGAGCTCTTTGGGAATAACTGTTTTAGGAAATCTACTTAAAAATAGTCTCTCCAGATTTTGGCAACTTGAAAGTTTTGTTAAGTTAAATAATGGGAAGTCACTGTTTGAATTGCTAATTGCTAAAAAAAGTCTAAGTTCACCCACTTTTTTTTGTGAGAGAAAAACTAAATATGTTTGGGTTTATTAGAAACATCTTATACCACACTGAGGACAGAAATTATTCCATGAGATGATGTGTGTGTTTCTGGAGGCTGTAGAATACATAAGTTTTCCAATCAGGAGGCACTGGTATTATCAACAATCCTCACTTCTATTTTTGCTGGAGATCAAGGTTCTTAACGGCTGTTGTTTAGTTGCTCAGTCACGTCCGACTCTTCTGTGACCCCATGGACTGTACGCGCCAGGCTCCTCTGTCCACAGGTTTCTCCGGGCGAGAACGCTGGAGTGGCTGCCATTTTCTTCTGCAGCGGGTCTTCCCCACCCGGGGATCCAGCACACGTCTTCTGCATTGGCAGGTGAGTTCTTTACCGCTGAGCCACCAGGGAAGCCCTTTTAAGGGTGAAAAGCTTAAAATATATATATATATTTTAAGCCACTAAAATAAGTGAAACATTTCAGTATACAAGGAAAGATATGAAAATTCATTTTGTTAAGGGGAAAAGTAACTTGGTCCTGAAGTTGGTTATTTCTAAATAGGAGAGAAAGTAAGGGACAAACTAATACGGGAAAAGGAAAGTTGTGACAGGTTTGTAACAAAGGAGCCCAGGAGCCCAAAATGTCTAAGAGATTAAACTAGGGTTGTTTGGTATGTTCAATTACATGGGGAGCACTGTCACAACTTTCTTAGGTCATAATGTCTGGGTAAATGTTCTTGTGTTTTTTTTTTTCTCCGTGCCCCCCAAATGTTGTTATTATATTCTAGAAATTGTATGGAATTCTGAAAAACCTGGTGGTCCTGATAACAAAACTAGAATTTTGACATTTTAATTGAGGTCTGTGTTTACTAAGACTCACCTCCCAGATAGTTCCTCGTTATGTCACATAATTGTCTTTTTTTTTTAATTATTTTATATTGAAGTACAGTTGATTAACAATGTTGTGTTACTTTCAGGTGTACAACAAAGTGATTCAGTTATACATATACATGTATCTATTCATTTTCAAATTTTTTTCCAAGTTAGGTTGTTATAGAATATTGAGCAGAGTTCCCCGTACTGTACAGTAGGTCCTTGTTGGTTATGCATTTTAAATACTACAGTGTATACATGACCATCCCAAATTTCCTAACTATCCCAATTACGTTGCATAATTGTAAAGTTTAATTACAAAAGGATACTCAAGTACGTTTGTTTTTGCAGCTTATCACAGCAGTCTGTCTTTGAATAAAACTGTGCATACTGGACAGGGCATTTATAGGACTGTCTCCAACCTAGATGGAAGGACCCTTGCAAGGTCCTTTTTTTGTCTTTGTGAACTGAGGACCTGGCACTTTTCACTGGAGCACAGTCTGTGCTGTGTCAGCTGTAAGGCACAGCGATTCCCTTACACACACACCACGTCTGTCCTTTTTCAGCTTTTCCTCATGGG